TATAGATTAATTTGGTATAAATTTCTCATTTTTGAATCTGGGAGCTCTAACCCGTGTTTTCCTAGAACAGTCCCCATTTATATAACACAAATTTTTATTTCTCAAACCAGCAGGTTTGAGTTTAAAACAATTATTATGGTTTAATATAAAAAGTGTATTGTAGCAATCATAAATTATTTTTAATCATATCTAAACAATTTTTGGGCAATTATAACATAAAATAATTAAGTTACCATTGTTATGTGATTTTTCCACTTCAATCATATATGCACCCAATTCTGCTTCTAGATCATTGATTCTTTGTGTTAAATGTTCAATACTAACAGCTTTATTACAGAGGTTTTGATAATCCTTTTCACTTAAACAAATGCGTTTATGTTGATTTACTTTTGCATAGAAAGATGTATCCTTATCAATATTTTGTTTATGATTTGGTCTGTCATTTTGGTTATAATTAATTAATTCATTGTAATGCTTTTTGCATAATTGGTCACCAACTTGGAGTTTAACATTTAGAGATTGAACGGTTGGACAGTTTTGTGCTTTAATTATAGAGTATTCTGTAATTTTTCTATATTCTTCACTAATATTTTCTTCACCACATACTACACAAGGACCATAATTTTTATGAACACTACCTCTAGTCATTTTTCTAATTAAATAAAAACAAAAAAAATAATGGAATGTGTTTTAATTAATTTAAAATTTATTTGTTATTATTACTATATATTTACTTTTTTTACTTTTTACGTGTATTTTAAAATGTGAAAGATTGTCAATTTTGTCAAAACAATGAAATTCAGATTCAACTTTATTACAAATAAACTCAAAACTAAATTCCGCTCTGGTAAAACGACCATCTGCTCTAGAAACAAGAATATCTATGGAATAATTTTGTAAAATTTGAGGTATAATAATTATGTGGTGTATCCCATGTTTTATAATAGGTCCTTTTTTCGATTTTAAAATACTTTACACATTTAAATTGTAGATCTTTTTTTGAAATATCAATAGTAATCGTGACTTGCAGATCTATCCATAAACGGATTTTTAACCATGCCAGTCATATAATTATTTGTTAACAGTGCTTGTAGCCTTTTTAAAAAAAATGCAGTTCATATTAACCATTTTTTCTCTTTGAAGAAAGAATCAATTGAGGTCTCAGTTTTGGAAAGCATGGCAAAAAATATTATGAAACTGGAATGTCCAAAAGTTGCTTTTGCTGTTGTTTCTATCTTGCATTGCAATTATACAAATACCTAAATGCTTGATTTATTCTGGTTAATATATTTCTGTATTACTACAAGTGGAACTGTTTACATGAACGTGACAATGAATTAAACAAACATCTGGACGAAGATCAAAAGGTGAGGAAACAAGCTTTATCTCTTTGATGCACCTAACATCCTCAGCTGAAATTTAATTACTTTGCTTGCAATCAAAGGTTGTAGTAAACGATGTTGGTGTCAATATTGATGATAAAGCAAATATGATACATATAGTAAATTATGCTTTTTTTTTTAATCTTACGGATTGTTCTCTTAAATTTGTAGGATTTATCTGGAAATTATTATAAGACTCCTGAAGTATGCCCCACAAATATGTTTAGCTACAAGCTGTGAGCACTAACAGTATTACCATTCCTCCTGTCATAACTATGCTTCTCATAGCCTATAGAACAAATTTCTCTGGGTTCTTTAAATTCTTCTGGTTCCAATGATGATGATGAAGCAATAGTTAATAAGTTAAATAAATATGATTATCTTACCGGACTGAGAAAGTAGAGTTTGGTATAAACAAAGATTTTGTTCTGGTAAATATTTAAAGAACATATTTTTATAAAAATTTTTTATCAAAATCGGATGTTACCTCAATTATAATAACCCAGTGTCCTGTCACAAGACACCAACAATGATTTGAGCAAGCTTGATTTGGGGTTTTGGGCAGTGTGTATAATATCAAAATTATGGACTTTGATTGGGCGGAAAGGGAAGGAGAAACTAAATATGAAAGTCTGAACCCCTGGCATTTAGATGCTGGCTGGCATGAACTCGTCAAAAAGGAGCATGATAAACATTTGATTGATAATATTTATCATAATAATCACAATATAATGGATGACCAACCCTTAGAAAAGTGACAGTGCCTCTCTGAGTGGATCAATTAGTTATATAAAAAATTTACAATAGATATAATAATAATTAATATTGAGTTTTAAACGTCTATATTTGTTAATATTGTTGATATTATACTTTAAATCAAAAAAAATTATTGTAATTTTTTTTTTTAAAGGAAAGACAAAATTAAAACATCTATATGCATAAATTATGTGATAAATAGATGTAGTGTATTTTACCTGAATCTAAGAAACCAACAATATCTAATTTACAAAGCTGATCCCATATTTTTTTTATCTTTTGAGAAATGTCCTCCATTACTTTAAGCATTTATAAACTTCCGTCAGCTGGGTGTTCCCCCATCACGGATCTCCTTAGTTTACTAACAACAGATTTCTCAATGTTTTAGCAATTCTATTTTAACACTTATGTCATTTATTCTGTTTTTTTTTAAAAAATATTTGATAAAAGATGGTTTGAATATGAACTTGTGGTTGTAACCACCAATTTTCAAAAAAGGCAGTTATACAAGTTTTAAAGGTGGTATTGCCGTAATTCCTTACTTATAATACAATACTCCATGGTTAACTATGGTCTCTTTCCATAAACTCGTAATTTAAACGCGGAATTTCTGAGTTCTTCCTCCTTTTGTATATAATATAGACATTTTGAACTTCATTTCCATCAATCTCAACAATTTCAATTCTAAAATTTCTTTCAGCCTTTGATATGACCGTCTCGTTGAACGTTTTCTGTATATTAGTAATTTGCAAAATTATTCCAAGGCACAATGTCTTACATCTTCTACTCTGATATCATACGTTGTTTGTATAGCCCGTCTGGTGCCTGATTATTATATCCTTCAAACGAGTGTCTATGACAGCTTTCCCATCCCAGGATATTACAACACTAAAAAACCAAAATGGTAAATCCAGCCAATAAACCACCAAACGAATCAATAACTCGACCTCACAACCAATTGGCATATTGAGAACAAAAAGAGTGAACCTGACAAGGTATTTTTTTTGATTTTGTATATATGCTTGATCGAGGCTATTATTATTATTTGTTCAAAGGCAAAATAAGATCCATTTTCGATTCAATGAATCTTCTTATGTTCTATTTGGTTATTAGTTGAAATCGTCATTCATTTTTTAGGGAACCAAGGTAAAATAAATAACAAGAATAGAACTTTTTTTCTTAATATGTATGTATGTGTACACGTAATTATATTATAACAACTATATATAGTTTTCGATATTAAAGGAGTAATATTAATATATATTGGTCATACCCCTTAATTATATCATAAAATCATATAAAAATTTTTGATTTATATAAATAAATGATAGATTTCCTTTTTTCTACTTTTCTCCCTAAAAAAGAATCATATTACTTACCAATCTTTTGATACTTACTTCCCTTGAATTCCCTTGATTTTTCTTTAACTTTTATTTTTTATCCATTTAATGATAAACTAATTTAATGAAATAATAATTATTATAATTTAATTAAATTAATTTAATCTTGCACCATATTTATTACAATCACATTATAATGTCTACTAAATTTTCCAGAAAAAATTCACTAATTTACTTACCTGGAGGTGAAATATTTCGTCGTGTGTCAAATAGTATTCGTGGGGCTGGAGTTATTGATGCTGTAGCTCAAGCTGCTTTTAATGAAAAAAAATGGGTCTGGGTTGAGGATAAGAATGATGGTTATGTTGCTGGTTATATTACAAAAGAAATAGGGAATCAAGTGGAAGTCCATTTTAATGACTATTCGGTATAATCAAAGTTTGGATTGATTTATTGGTTGATTGTTGCTATTTATTATTTATTAATTTTTATCAATTAACCAAATTTAGTCCCGCATTGTTGACGTGGACGAAACCGAAAAAATGAATCCACCTAAATTTGACAAAGTTGAAGATATGGCTGATCTAACTTATCTAAATGAAGCATCTATTATACATAATCTACGACAAAGATATTTTTCAGATTATTTTTATGTACGCAGGCCATTCTTATTTATTACTTATATATATATATATATATATATATATACATACATACATATATATAGACGACTGTGTTGATTTATTCATTATTTATTTTATCATTTATGTACTATTATCTTGGTCATAGACATATTCAGGGCTCTTTTTGGTCGCAGTGAATCCTTATCATGATTTCCCAATATATACAGATGAAATCATACAATCTTATAAAGGTAAACGTAGACATGAAATGCCACCTCATATATACGCTATAGCCGATTCTGCTTATCACAATATGCTACAAGAGCGTGAAAATCAATCAATTCTAATAACGTAACGATACTTGTCATATTTCAACTAAATCAGTTTATTGATTAAATTTCTATTAATTAATTAATCGATTCATTTAATCCATGATTTTATTTAGCGGAGAATCTGGTGCAGGAAAAACTGTAAACACAAAAAAAGTTATTCAATATATAGCAGCAATTGCTAGTGATAGCTCAAAGAAGTTGGGTAAACTTGAGCAACAAATACTTCAAGCTAATCCTATACTAGAAGCATTCGGAAATGCTCAAACTATCAGAAATAATAATTCCTCTCGTTTCGTAAGTAATTCATACATAAATAAAAAAATTTTATTTGTATATATTTATTTATATTCATAATATACATGCAGGGGAAATTTATTAGGATCGAATTCAATTCGTATGGTCAAATTGCTGGTGCCAATATTGAAAGATATTTATTAGAGAAATCCCGTGTCACACATCAGACTCCTGAAGAACGTAACTTTCACATTTTTTATCAATTATTAAAAGGAGCTCCACAAGAATTCAAAAGTAAGTTATTATTATTTAAAGATGGTGTGTTATATATATATATTATATATATATAAATTTTTTTTTATAAAATGTATAACCTTTATTATCATTTATTGCATTGTAGAGGATTTCTTGTTGGATGATACATTGGATGATTATCGATTTACAAAATTTTCAAGACAAGATATTGATGGTGTTGACGATTCAATTGAATTTAATAATCTTATGGTTAGCATATATCTCAATCTAAATCTAAACTTAAACCTATAATCATCATTACTGTCTTTTTTTTTATGAATAATAATAATAACAATCATTTTCTTTTTAGGATGCTATGAATATAATAGGGATGACAATTGAAGAACAAATGAATTTGTTTCGTGTAATAGCAGCAATCTTACATCTTGGAAACATTAAAGTGACATCTAATCGTGACGACCAAGCTCAAATACCAGAAACATCTGTATCGGAAAAAGTTTGTCATCTTCTTGGTATACATGTATCGGATTTTATTAAAGGTCTAGTCAAACCTCAAGTTAAAGCTGGTCGCGAATGGGTTGCCCAATCGCGCACAAAAGAACAAGTCTTATACTCGATAGATGCTTTGGCAAAGTCATTATATGAAAGAAATTTTGGTGCGTTGGTAGAACGAATTAATAAGGCTACCGATAGACCAACCAATAAATCTAATTTTATTGGCGTATTGGATATTGCTGGTTTTGAAATATTTCAGGTAAAATGTTTTGATTGAATATCTCTAATATTTAAATATTATAAATTAAATTTTAAATTTAAATTTTATAATTAAAAATTATAGACAAACAGTTTTGAACAATTATGTATAAATTATACCAATGAAAAATTACAACAATTTTTCAACCATCATATGTTTGTATTGGAACAAGAAGAATATAGACGTGAAAGTATTGAATGGAAATTTATCGATTTTGGTTTGGATCTACAACCAACGATCGATTTAATTGAAAAAGTTAATGTATGTATATTATTATATCATTAATTATACTGTTGTATTCCATTTTTTGACTAAAAAAATTTATTTATATCCGAAAAAATAGCCGGTGGGAATATTGTCATGTCTTGATGAAGAATGTGTTATGCCAAAAGCAACTGACAAAACTTTTGTAGAAAAATTACATAGTTTATGGAAAGACAAATCATCAATATATCAAGTTCCGCGTTTTCAGCAAGGTTTCATATTACAACATTATGCTGCTAAAGTAGAGTACAGAACTGAAGGATGGCTTAATAAAAACAAAGATCCGTTGAACGAAAATATTACTAAACTACTGGCTTACTCAAATTGCGAATATATTGCATCTTTATTCCAAGATTTTTATGGTGACAACAATAACATTATAGATTATGGAACAAAAAATCGTGTTAAACGTGGTGCCTTTAGAACTGTAGGACATCGCCACAAAGAACAATTACATTCATTAATGAAACAATTATACTCAACTCATCCACATTTTGTCCGATGTATTGTTCCTAATGAAGAGAAAAAGCCAGGAAAGATTTATGTGCCATTAGTACTTGATCAATTAAGATGTAATGGTGTTCTTGAAGGCATTAGGATATGTCGTACTGGATTCCCTAATCGATTGGGGTTTGTCGAATTTCGTCAACGTTATGAAATCTTGGTCCCAGGGATTATTCCTGATGGATTTATTGACGGCAGAGAGGCTGCACGGCAATTATTGGAGGCTTTTAATCTGGATAGTTCACAATATCGTATTGGATTAAGCAAAGTTTTATTTAAATCTGGAGTGGTAATTATTTTTATATATAGCTAGCTTAATATATATTATTGATATATTGGATATATTATATATAATAATAGCTACTCTAATGATAATTTTTTTCTTTTTTTATATAGTTGGCAGAATTAGAAGAAATAAGAGATGGCAAATTAGCGCATGTTTTTACACGTTTTCAAGCATATTGTCGTGGTCATTTGGCAAGAAAACAATATGAAATATTATCTAAAAAAGTTCAAGCAGCACGGATCATCCAAAAGAATGTAAGGGTTTATAACCAATTAAGAAAGAATTCATGGTGGAATCTTTATTCCAAAGTCAAACCGACCTTGAATACTACTCGTTGGGAGGAACAAATAAAACTTAGGGATAATCGTATACGCGAATTGGAGGAGAGATTGAAATTCGAGACCCAGGAACGGGAAAGACTTGAAGCCTTAACTGTGCAATTGGAATCTGAAAAGACGGTGTTGGAAGAAACATTGGACGACGAGAGAGTTTTAGCTCAGGGTAACGAGGAAATATTAGCTCAAACTCGACAACGAGAACGAGATTTAGAGGAGGAAGTTGATGAGTTGACAGAAGAGGTAGAGAAACTCGAAGGAGAATGTGAACAATTGGCAAGGTCTAAGGAAACACTTGAAAATCAAATGCAAGAACTTGGATTGCTAGATGCACCAGATCAATTATTGGTATTGAAAGAGGCTGAAGAGACACAAAAAGAAGTTATTAGGCTTGAACGAGCTAATAAAGCACTTCAGGTTGAGCTTGATGAATTGAAAGAGAAATTGGAAGATGAGAGGACCGAGAAACAAAAAGGTTCGATGAACCGACGAAAACTTATGTCACAGTTACAAGAATATCAGATGAAACTTGAAACAGATACTCAAAAATATAGTGGATGGGAAGATTCAGTGGCATCATATAGAGAAAAGATTACATCACTGGCCTCAAATCTTGAGTCGTCAGAATTGGCACGAATAAAAGCAGAAAAATCTGAAGGTCTACTGAAACTCCATATAAACGAACTTGAAGAATCAATGGTCGAAATATGTATTAGTAATTTTATGAAAATTCAAGAATTACTAAAATTTTCCATCTCTTCAGGGAAATCCGAATAAAAAACATTTTTCCATGTTTTTGATCATATATATTCATTCATGCATTCATAATATGCTTATTGGTGTATTTATATTTATTTAGTTTTAATATAATATATTATATATTTATCATAATTTTGTATTATAAATTTTAAATTTTTTTTTTTAAAATATAAATATTGTATTTCTATTAATAATAATAATCATATTGTATAAATAATAAATATGGGACATGCTGAAACAAAACCAGATAAAGTGATTTCGGGGATTCATAATTTGGTTGGTGGAGAATGAAAATTTAATTGGCCATACTTCCATTTCTTGGTTTTTCCCATATTTAATTTTTAATTTTACACAAAAAAACTATTAACTACTTATATCCAAGTACAAACCTAAATAGACAGTATGCAATAATCATGAGGTATCTCGGGTATAAGCAGCAGACTCTCCGTTAGAACTCCATCAATGATGCAAGATGATGTATAATGCAGACACTTTACTCAAAGCTGGGCGTTATGTTTAAAACTTGAAAAATTCACGTGACAAATAATTAGCAATGTTGAAAAAGTAAAATTTTGTGGGGGTTGGTTAATTCCTTCATGGCAATGATGTATGTTAAGATTAGCAATGTTGAAAAAGAATTTTGCACCCAAGAACCCCATATTTAGTTCAAATTCACATACAATGGCATGTCCTCGCCATTTTGGTTATATCCGATCATGAAGGTTTTCATCCCTGGATCAAATGAAATGATGCCAGCATCCTTAGCTACCAAGAGTTTAGGACCTTGATTATCACCCATATTTTAATTCGGGTATTTTCACACTTTGAGGACCATTTTTGTTTCCCCAATTTGTTGGTCTTTTTCAAATTTTTAATATTAAGCTTTCTTTTTTGGAGCAATACTTGAATCATAATTGTTTAAAAGTCGCACATCGTTGCATCTCTAGTAAGAACCCATTCAAGATCAGGTCTTTGATTTTTAAGTTTTTCTTTATTAATATATATATATATATATATTGATTCATTTTGTCCAGCGAGCAGTACCAATCCATTTGTTTTTCTTCCGAATCAGGGTAAAGGCTGATGTTAAGATCTTTCCTGAGTAGAGAGGTAGAAGAAGTTATATTTTTTTTAAAACTCTTCTGTTAAAAAGGGGAATATGTTTCATATTGTTAGGTGACGGTTTAATTGAACCAACGGTAGCCCATGAAAATCTTTTAAAGAATCATCTCATTGACCTGAACACAGTGGTTTACTGGTGGTTTTTAAAGGTAACCAGTCTCGGAATGGCTTAAATATTCATATATTTGAAAAAGTTGTTGAGAAAATTGCATATAGTTTTTTTTTTTAATTAAAGATAAATTAACTGTTAATTTTTGTCTAGTTAAAAAATAAATAATAATGAGAAATTTGTTTTGTGTCGAAAATCAAAAAGATGATTGTGATTGGTTTTTAGTTTTTGGTAAAAATATTTACATAAAAAAAATGATGATTATGTAAGTAATTCTTGTGGAGAATCACTGATTGGTAAAAATGCTGAAAAACATCAAATCAATTAATAATAAAATGGATCATTTGTGTATCTCGATTATCGTACAAATCCTCTGTTTTGAATCCATATTTTGTTGAAAATTTGAGCTTTTTTTAATATTGAATGTATGTTTAGCTTGCTAAAAAGGATATAATGGAAGACGACATCATCATAATAGTAAATATTGTTCATGTGATGTTTATCAAAGCATCCGGAATCTTTCAATTGTGATTTCCGATTTTTTTGGGATATAAAGAAAAATTAAATTGAGGACGAAAAAAGTAATTAATAAACAATTGATTTATTTGATCTTCGGAAAAATCAATAGTCGATGTAGTTTCCAAATTAAAATATTATAAAGTCCCACTCCGACTTCGTGTAACACAAATAGTTAAGTCGTCCAT